TCTGGTGTTCCAGGTGTCCATAGGCGACGCCGATTGCTTACCATCAGGTGATCCGTCTGCTCGTGTACCGGCCATAAAAAAGCCTAGTCACTTATTTTCCTATTATCTTTCTATATAATTATAAGATCTATGTACACATTTACGAACAACAGAAGTAAATGTAACCAAATATTTACCATGTTACGTCCAAAACAACACCGGCCCTTATTTTTGATAAACGTGTTTGCCACCCTACATATCGCTCGTGCCGCGCCGTAACTTCTTCATTCATATACATTCCGTGCATTCTGATGCTTATCAATCGATATAAATATCTGATTCTTTAGAAGACTGGCTTGTCAGGGTAGAAGTCACATGTGCGACTGCTGATGAAGTCTGGCAAGCAAAATACTATTGGATACTTTATTTTTTTTGAAAAATGTCTCAGTTTGGGCACGATGTCTTGAAATTGCACATATAATTACGACAATTATGTCGTAGTGACACCTCAGACAACGGTGAAGGATAACGTCGAGAGGTAACCTGGGCTTATAATTTCTAATTATAAGTTTGAAATCGCCAACCCATATTCAGCAAGCGTGATGATTAGTGCTCAAACTTTCTCCGTGTGAGTAGAGGCTTTTGGTCAGCAGTGGCCACTTATAGTATATGCTATTGATATGTGGTATAGCAAGAGGCTCACCAATCCACTACTGGTGCAGTGTACATACCTCTGCCTACCAATGAAAACAAAAGGCGTGGTATTAAGTTATTATTATTTTTTATCTTGTTTATACTAGCTTTTACCCGCGGCTTCGCTCGCGTCACAAAAGGATAAAAAGTAGCCTATGTGACATATCAATACACACAGCACCATCTATACCAATACTTTTGTTTTCCCTCGGGAATATAATTTTTTTCCGGAATAAAAAGTACCCTATTATTTAATCCTGACTTCTAACATTACGTCTGTAAAAATTTAAAGCAATCGGTTTAGTAGTTACGGCGTGAAAGCGGAACAAACAAACAAACTCACTTTCCGATTTTTTTTTTCTATTCCGATTTTCACGAAACTTTTACACTATATTGCGAAATGTTTCATTTCTAACTCTACGTTCGTAAAAAGTGTGAATGATTTTTTATTGATGCTTAAACTGCTGTTTCATCGTACCAATATGATTGTATCGGTCATTTTTATATCTGAAATACTTTTAAAGCGTTCGTCAATATTGTATATTATACAATGCAGTATTTTAAACTAAAATATTACCTCTAAAATATTCATATGTTTTACAAACAAAATTGAAATCGTTTTCAATAGTAGTAGGTAGTACCAATAGTTGTAGCATTAACACACATCCTAAGAAATTTGATAAATGGTAGTTTCTTAAACATTAGATAGGTACACAGTTATTGTCCTGAAGAAATAAGAAATAAGTATAAGAAGACAAAAGCTAAACGGTGACTCCAAATTATTAGCTTATAATATTTAGCTATCCATAATCTTATTTCTTCGCGAAATATACGAAATGTTCATTGTACACTGTCCTTATCTGAGGGCCACAGATGACAAAACTAATGTCAAAACTTTATCAGTGTGTCGCCACCTTTATGATTGACTGTCGAATTATAGGGGTGGTCTAGAGAATCGATCATTCAACGCAAATTCATTCTTTAACCATCATTCCTTTACTATCGGCATTTTTTCGCAATGGAAGGTATCTGAAAAATGAGTTCACGGTTATATTACGATCTTTTTGGTATCCTATTATTTTTATACAATCAGTTGTACTTTTACTCATAAATTACTTATATAGGTATATATTATATAGGTATGGAAGTGTTTTTTGTTTATGCGTCTACAGTTTTTATTTACCTGTGACGTATGTTGATTGATAAATTTATTTTTAAGACTCTTCAAAGTTTTGCTATTCAACATTTTTACCTTGTTGACATTATAAATAATTATATATGTCTTGTTTAAGCAATGAAACAATTTGTCTAAGTTTATTTTCATAAAACCATTTTTTTTTACATTATCTTTTCCTCTTAAAATGTTTTTTTTGTTTCATTTCCAAATGGAATTATTTTCGTGATTAAATTGGAACAAACAATTTGTACCAACGATAACTAAGCGGTCAGACTGTGGGCGCCCAAACAAATATAGTGGACTATTCCCAAATAAAATTTTAATTAGATTGGTTAGAAACTATCTTTTTCTACCTCGACGGGGTGTCGGAGTTTATTTATTTTTCATTCACAATGAACAAGTATTATCTATTCTACGTTAAATATTTCGCAACCAACAATTTCTTTGCAAAAATATGTTTTGCAAAAAACTTAATATTCGCGCAATTAGTTTCGCAAGTGGGCGTATCATATTATATTAAAATCATATTACACTGAATGCGTACATATTTTATGACATAGTCGGAAAATATTTTTCTAATATTCATAGAGGAAAATGTACTGCGAAAGAATTTTCAAAGTAAACGCGACTAATCCGGCGTAATGAACAAAGCTCTAGGTAACTACTGTTAAAAATTCTCGGCGAAAATGAGTCATTGTTGCAAAATGAAACGAAAAAATCCAATTCTCGGAGGTCTTCTGCAAAATACGGGCGATGTAGCATGTAAATAAGTCTTTACGAATTAGGGAAGACATCTTTCATCTCTGTTCGAAACGATTAGATATTCATAAGATCGCTCGCTCGTCCCTTGTTTTCCCCGCCTCCAAACATTTTTTACCCTTGATTTATTTTCGTATGTAAACAAAAAAGTTTTACTGCTCAGAAGTAATATGAATCTATAATGCCCAGTTTCCAAGGCTTTCTTTTCAAAAATTACTTTGTATGTTTCAGGATTAGGGCAATTTTAAAAGGAAAAGTTGAAAATCACCTCCCAGGGTCATGGTGTACTGTTCTGTAAGTTAGATTACTTATTGATTATATTATTTTTTAATTACTTTTTCCTTCCTTCGTTTGACAATGCTTTGTGTGAAGTTTAGTTCCTACTGTATTTTATGGCAATTGTAAAATATTTCTTGGATAGCTGTTTACTACTGTATTTGAATACATGTTTTGATAAACTTAAAAATGATTTTGTCATAGGTAATTAAAGTTCAATATATTGATGATTCTAAAAATGTGACATTAAGAGATTTAGTAAAACTGTTAGTCTTAATAAACTATTAGTCAAGTATGATTTTGTCGCGGAGAGCCTAACGGGTTACCAGGGCTCCAGCTCGACGTGCAGGAGAAGGAATGGGGTGGTTTTTAGCCAGTAATAGTCTGACACTCCCTCCCGCCTCACCCAGGCGGGAGCAGTCATTCGATGAATTTCCCTCCTTAAAAAAAATCTATGATTTTATAGATATAAAATCATTATATCAGGATTGTGTACTTACAAATTTTATTTCGTAAAAAATAATTCTTATCTTCAAAAAACATATGAGTAATCCCTAAGCGGTCAAGAAAACTCAAATATTTTTTTAAAACTTTATTGTTTCTTTATAATGTTTATTACACATGTAATTATATAATGCGGAGCACCGCACCTTCAGGTATCGTAATACATACAACAAATTTATTTAATACTATTGTTACTTGTATACAATAATAAACTTTTGACATAATAATAACTGGTTATAATAATTATCAAGATCTGTCGTATCCTAATTCAAGAAAAACACTTTCAATTTATTTTTTTATTTCGTTATTTTACATCGAGATTCAGCGGGATTAAAGCTGGACAGCTTTTTATGTACAATGTAGTGAAAAATTAATAAAAAAATGTAAGTTTTTAACGACAGTTTCTGTCTGAAAGCACTTCGATATTTTAGCAATAAGTAACGAGCCTTAAAAAATAAAGGGACGGGGGACAAGATTAGGTTTTTATACAATTTTTGAAATTAAGGTACACTTTTATAGGCAACGAAAGTTTTACACATCTTGAAGTATTTTTACGTATTTTATTTCGTTATAATTTTTATATAGAAATATATCGGTCACAGGAAGAATATTAAAGTACACAAACAATTTTCGATTTGAAATCAGAATTGTTTTCTAACTATGTAAAATATCTTCTCCTAGTTTACGCTTACGACTATCTACTCTATTATTATTTTTATATTTTTATTATTATACAATATCCTACTTTTTCAAATGGGTCTTACTACAAGTATTCCAAATGAATTTCAATTATTTTCGATATGCATTTTTTAATTAATTAAATATATTTTTGCGTGATTCCAAAATTAGGAAATTATACGTTTTTTGCAAGTTTCAAGAATGCTGTGATTTTATCAAGTAATACAAATATTATTTTCTGTCTATACTTTACCAAGACCCCTTTGCAAAAGTCCTCTTACAAATACTATTTACAACATCATTTAGATTCACAAAATTTACTAAAAACTTACTTACAATTTACATCACTTAGTCCAGATATTATTAAAGGCTAGATAGAGTGATTCGTATAACCTCAACTATTTACATTTTCTTTTTGTGTTTTAAACGTAGTATTGTCAGCTGTTTATACATTCCTGTGTCCACTATCTTTTTGTTCTTTCATTTGATTAAATTTTTCTTCATCATTTTTCTCTAATACACATCTATCATAAACAATTATACGTTTTATTCGCCAATTAATGTAATACAAAATATTCGTTACATTTCTGTTACAATATTTTACTTGGAAGTATAATCATAGAGTGACAAGGTTTCTTTATATGTTGGAAATCAAATCTAATTATCATTACACAAATTAATACGATTAACACGCTTTATATATTACACTATATACAACACTATATGGAACAAGCATATCCTACTTGCTCTTGTAAAGTAATTTACTTTATATTGTACATAACACAACCCACACTATAAAATAGCAAATTGTCTCAGCCAGTTGTATTGAAAATGTTGGGCAAAGTTAATATCGTCTGGAAGTCCACATTGTCAATATAAGCAGCTGATGTTGATAAAATCCTTGTATTTACATTTAGTTAAAGATCCGTATGTGTCAAGAGAGTGTGATGAACAGGCAAGCAACCAACACGAGGCAGTGTGTCGGCGATGTTGGTGCGAACGCCTGCCCTCCTCGCTGCATCGCCGCAGGGTACTCACCTGATAAAGGAAAAATCGAATTTGCTTCTTTGGCAAAAATTAAAACTGTTCTCAACAATATTGGTAGCAACAAAACGAATATAGAAGAGAATCAGAACCTATTTAGGTAAACAACTCTAACAGACAAAAGAACATAATTCCGAAACAATATTTTTAAAAATCTATTCTGGTACGATTACTCAAATGAACAAACCTATTTATGATTAACAAACTTCAATCATAAAATGAACTAACAGATATTAAAATCAATAAATCGTAAAATGGAAAACGGAACAAAGGCTAGATGGAATTTGAAGTCAAGAATAGAACGTTAAAACCAGTCAATACAATTGACGATATTACTCGTAATATCCGAGGTGACGAGAGCAATTTATTAATATCTAAGAAAGACAATAATAAATTATCATTTATTTCTCAAATCAAAATTTAATTTTATTCATGAACATGAAACCTTTACTGTAAATCATCGTGTGTCATGTTATTTAAGTCATGACTTCCAACTTGAAACATTTTTACTCATGAAAGCAAGTACCTGTGATCGTAAATCTTCGACACAGTTAAAAGAAAACCCAATTACTTAGAGTCAATAACGTTCAAGTTGCTTTACGATAGTTTTTTAACTAATGCCAGTGATAAATTGTATGTTCCATGAAAACACCCTATTCCATCGCAGTTCCACCCATTGTTTCTAGCCAAACCTAACATTAAAAAGAAACATAAAATTTCGTTGATTCATTGCTTTAATGATAATCGTCTTTAGCCTTAATTTTTTATTCGTAGAGAGTTTCAAAAATGTATTTTCTTTCCTTTATCTTACGGAGGTCGTTTATCATGAAGATTGGGATGCTCTTTACGAATCGCCGTCAAGATTTCGTATTTTATAAATCATGATCTGAATTAAACAGATTTGTTCTATAAAGAAACCATTTATAATGTAGGCAACGTGACGTCTAATGAAATGTCAACAAAATTAGTTTTTGATAATATTAAAACGATTAAACTTTCCGATTCATCATTTTTTAATTCTTTCGTTTCTTCTATGAACGTTATTAATTAATGAAGTGTTTAACATTACATAAGAGAGAAACACTTAATATTGGGAACGTAGAATTTCATTATCCTACGCAAACAACATACAGAAACAGGACCAAAAAGAACATGAGTGTTGTTACGTAAAGCGATCGCAGTGTGATCTAACTCACCATTGAGGACGTGCACCACGATGCTCTTGGACTGCGCGTTGCTCGGGTTACACTGATACGTCCCAGAATCTGAAGGTCTTGCCTGCTGGATTAGCAGGAATGAGGTCGTCGTCTCCCCCTTCTCAGTCACCACCGACACGCCTCCTCTCGGGGAGTCGTAGCTTATTATCTGTATACATTTTATTCACTCCATGTTTTATGGTAATAGGATTGATGCTATTTTCTAGATTGGATACATTTTCCTGTTTTTCATGTTATAAAACTGTTGTGTAAACTGTAATGTTTCATTTTTTTCTTACCGCATCATTGTGGTTCCAAAATATGTATGCTGGCGGTTCAGGTGAGTACAGAACCACACAAGTAAGGTTGATAGTGCTGCCCCTGTCTATGTAGAGGTCAGGGCCACCAATTATCTCTGTTGTTGGCTCTGTAACAAGAATTACAATTTAATCCAGGTAAATTGAAGTTAGAACATACATTTTACTTGAATGTAGAACATTTTACAAGTCTTTCGTTAAGTTGAAGAATATTTTGTTTCATATAAAATAACTTTTATGCTTAAAATATGACTGTTCGTTAGATAGTCATTTTGTTTGAAGAAGCCTAGATACTTAGAAATAAATATTGCCTCAAAATTTTTGAAGATATATGAACATTTGCTACCTTCACGTATTTTTTATTTTAACATTTTTGTCTTTTATATTTTTAGAGTAAACGTAGTAGGGTACTTTTTTCTGAATAGCTCTCGATATACATATGTAGTTACAGGTACGTAACTACATCATAAAAAATAAATATCAAAGAATCCTCATAATTTCATTTTACTATTATCTATACCGTTTAGAAGAAATATTAATAAACTCAATGTCAGTTTGGTAGATTAGATTGTTAAATAGTTTTCGTACAAAAATATAACACTACTTAAATAGAGTGGATTGAAAAATTAATCTTATTGTGGGCTTCATTATGTTATACACGTGCTATTTTCACAAATAATATATTAATCACAAAAACATGCTTCAATAGGGTAGTTTCCTAAATTTTATTTTAATGTCCGTCTGGAACATTAATTTAAAACTTTAGACACGTATTTTTTTCACAAAATTAAATACTTTCGACGATATATTAATTTGAAATATCGTGTGACGTCACAGCGTGTCACATTTTGTAGCACGTTATGACGTAACGACCTCCCACTCCTAAACGAGAAAATTAAAAAATACGTGTCTAGAGGTAATATTTTTTCATTATCTAACTGACGGACTAAATAGATTTTTAATTTTGTTACCCTGGAAACTACCCAATTGAGCATATAGTATGTGTATCCAAATGTTGCTCAAAATTAGCATGCTCATTTCAGACATGTTTGCGTATTAACAGGCGTTCGATTTTTGAACATTGTCGACCATGATCAATTGGTCATAGAACGCATTTTAGAGCAAGTGTATTTTGCACTTGGAGATGCCTGCGTCCAGTGACGAAATCGTAATCATCATGGATTGTTGTGGTAGGACCCCACTGATCTCCCAACTACCACCTATCTCAAAGCATTGCGCCGGTAAGATGATGGGCAAGGGAGAAGATGTTACACATCGGGGAAAGAAGTGTCAGTGTCAGTACCATACAGACATTCATTCAAATACAGTAGTGTCCATGGCATTTGGCATGTTATTGTTCTATACTATCCAATATAGAAGGTGTTTCTTGAATGTCTCAAGTAACGAGACCTTGTTAAAATACCATACTTAGGGCAAAAACACGAAGTCACTACAAAAACACTTCTTTAATAAGGAAAGGACGTCGGTACGTTTTGTTTTTCTTATAGCACGCATCAGTTGCGTGCGTGCCCATAATACGTCACACTTAATTAACTTGGTCAAACATGGCCAACTTAAATATTTTGTTCTAAGTTCATCAACAAACGCCTTCCCACACATTATACTCGCATATATATAGATATAATAAAAGTTCATTTAAAAATATATACCAAAAAGTTCATGTATCACCACAGCTTAACCTTTCAAGTCATCAAGCTTGCAGTAGTAGGAAAGTACAAACATTTTAAAACCAATTTTTTAATTAACTAGATATTGTGGGTTACTCGCGTGAATATACTGAGAAAAGCTCTACTAGTTTCGAACCACAGAGGGGTTCGTCCTCATGAGCAGCGTGTGTGGTCGCGGCGATGTCGCGCAGCCTACTGAGACTAGTAGAGCTTTTCTCAGTATATTTACATGAGTAACCCGCGATTTTTATTTAATTTAGTATGTCTTACGATAATTATTATAAAAACAAATCAATGCTTGTTTATGGGGATGAGACAGTGTATTTTGTTTAGGTACATTAACTAATATACAGTCACTTCTGTAAAATAATTTAGGGGAATACTAAGTTATAGTTAAAAATCTGATGTGATCTGAACTATTATACAAAGAGTATTAATAACGCAATATTGCTTAGCCCCGTAGAAAAGAGTCACGATTGCATGGAACTTAATTTTATTATAATAGCTTAGAAAAAAATAAACATTAATTTGCTTAATTAGTCCTTGCAAGGTCCTTCACCAACCACCATCTACTAGGAGACCTTACACCTTCTACTAATACACCTTACTATTGTTAACTTACTCGAAGGTTTTATATAAAATGTGACCTATATAACGTACTATGGGCAGCACAACAACCGACTCCAATGAGTAAATTTTTGTCATTGGACTTTCGACTTTATACATAAACGATATAGTTTAAAATCTAATAAAGAAATTTGACAGAAAAGTGTAGGTTAACCTGCAGCCTACTGTAGCTATGTATATTTCGTGTTTTCCAGCTCATTTCAAACAGCCTTCATTACAGTTTACCTTTCATTCGCTTTAGCTAAGTGGTCACTAAATAATGAATGTGTTTGCTTTTACGAAGGACCACTTTTCTACCGTCATAATCGTTAGTGTTGGAGCATTACGTACTCCAGTTTTTAATATTTTAAAACATGGCATTTTCAGTGACAGTCAGCTTTTTACCAACTTTAAAAAAAAGGAGGAGGTACTATGTTCGGCTGATTGTTTGCCATATTAACCCTTTGAGTACCGTCATTATAGACACAATTAAAGAACAATAGGTTGCGGTCACCGGTGTCCTCGCGGTGTTTAACAGTTTAAGACTGCCTCGTTGGCCGAGTGGTCGCAAGTGCAACTGCCGGCCAGAGGGTCTCGTGTTCCATTCCCGGGTCGGCCAAAATATTACTGTTTTTTTTTCAAAAATCTCAGTATTAGCACGGAGTGTGGAATTGTGCCCGGTATATAGCGATAGGCTCACCCCCTATTACATGGGACTCATAACACGAATAGTGAAAAGTGGGTGTTACATTGTACAGTGGCATAATGTGCAGCTCAGCCTACCCCTTCGAGGATAAAAGGCGTGATGTTATGTAATGTATTTCTTTATTAAACTTCTGTACACCTAAAGCATAACTAAAGCATAACAAGCAATTATTTGCCAACCAAAATTGAAATTACCGTACTGATAAATAACGTTGTTTCTTCAATAAATATCACGTCGTTCATCATTAATTTCGACCTCATTTCTACCGTGTTTATTGACATAACAATAGTTTACAATCATTAAATACGGGTAGTCAACACAGAAGTCATGACACAATCTATTACGTTCAAATTACAAGAGGTTCGTAGACCAATTTAGTTGAACGTATCAAATTTTCATAACTAATTACTGTAATTGACATTATATTTTCCTTGCGTTTCCTATTTCCTGGTTGTTAGTTAAAATTGGGTTTGGTATTACCACGATTACTATACAAATAAGTTTTAACAATATTGGAGTCAATGTATCTTAGGTCTAATTACATTTAGCTATTTTGTATATTATAGGTAATTCTTCATTGAAAACATTTTTACCCGACCGAAAAAAAGAAGGTGTTATAGTCCAAGATCCCAGAGCCCCGCCGACCGCATGTGTCTGGGAGTAATGAATACTGACTTTTAACGATATAATGTAAAATATGTTAAAATCAGCTATCAGAATTTAAGTGAGGTGAGCAGTGTTTTTTTATGTACCTTGATTAATTGCTACCTGAAAATTGGCCGTCTGGCCAAGATAGCAACTAGTCATATGATCATAGTACACCCCACCACTACTCACTCGTACATATTTTGTCTATCAGAAAATGAGTGACGTCTGGGGGCTCTGGGATCTTCCTCTATTAAGTTTGACTTGTATACATGTATATGAATGTATGTTTGTGCGCGATTATTTCGCGACTGGCTAAACTAATTTTGATGCGGTTTTCATTAATTCATTTTCATAATTTCATTAATTAACCGACTTCAATAAAATAGTCATATAAAAATATGAGGTCGTGGTGGCCTGGAGGTTTAAGACGCCCACTTCTCATGCATGAGGGTGCGGGTTCGAAACCTACCAACGGCAAGTACCAATGTGACTTTTTCCGAGTTATATGTACTTTCTAAGATTATTTAGACACCACTGACAAACGGTGAAGGAAAAACATCGTGAGGAAACCTGGACTTATAATTTCTAATTATAAGTTTGAAATCGCCAACCCGCATTGAGCAAGCGTGGTGATTAATGCTCTAACCTTCTCCGTGTGAGAAGAGGCTTTGCTCAGCAGTGGGCATTTATAGGCTGTTGATGATAAAAATATGTGATGTTATATTTATAAAAATAGGCTCATCCCCTATTGCATGGGACTCATTACATAAAATAGTGAAAATAGGGTGTAACATTGTACAGTGGCATTAACACTAGAAAGACGGGAGCAGTCATTTGACCGCAATTTGATTTTAAATGTTGAATAACTTGAAATCTATTTGAGTTTTTAAACTGAGACTTTGTGACTTTTATTTATTTTACTAGTTAAATGCAACTATGTATGAAAATAAATCACAACTCTTTTATTTATTATTTAAAATCTTGATCTACCGACAAAGACGGCGGCAGTCATTTGACTGCTGACAACCAATGAGTGTTTATAAGTGTAATATGAGAGGGTAGAATACAAATTATATACACTAATTCATTGTTTATAGTTTGTTTATCAAATGAGACCGTATCATTTCAAGTGTCTGTGAACTTTTACGAAATTATTGAAAGTAGTTTGTGGTCGCAACGTGTTGGAGTCTTGAAAATGAAAAACCGTTTGTTACTTCCAAAATATTTGTGAAGATGAGTCTGATTTTGACTCTAAAAATACAAAACATGATAGCGACGACGATTGTGTGGTACTACTTGTCAGTTCGAATTCCTCTACGGACGGAAGTGACCTGAAGACCAGATACTTCGAGCAAATTTATCAGACGTTGACAGGTCGGGTTCTCGTGGTTGTAATCGTTGTTGTGGTAGTGATAAAGGCTGTGAAAGGAGTTTGGAAGATCCTGAGCATCAAGATCTTTCCCAACTATCGACTGTATTTCTTGTACACACCTCAAATGGCATCTACTCTAAGTGGTCAAATGTCGATGAATCCGTTGATACAGAATTACAGATGCGACTTGTGAAACTTTTTGCAAATACTGGTCAAAATGTTACGAGCATCTCAAAGGTGAAATACATTTTTTTTTTCATATTTAATACCTAGCAAAGATATAACATAATTTAGATAATTTTCCTTTTTAGATATAATTCCTTCATTTGGTATAGGAAAATGTAGAATATTACATGAAACAAAGGCTATTTATACTAAGTTCAGGGGGCGAACTTAGAAGCAAAGTATACATTGAAGAAGACTCTCTGAAACTGAATCCTTGCCTGAAGAGTCTAGATCTTTTACTTCACAATCTTCTGCACAAAATCCAGTAAATTCCAAAATATTATATATACAAATGCAAATACAAAACCCATAAAGAATGCGACAATTGCAAAAAGCCACTTTGCGGCCTTTGTAATGTAAACAAAATGATAAAATTAGAAATTCTACACATATTACCTAATTAACAATATATTATACCATGTTTAATACTATAAGTACCATTTCTAGCACTTAAACATAAAAAAATATCAAAAAACTTGGAGCAGTCATTTGACCGCTCGCCGTCTTTGTAGGTAGACGACTTTTTCCGTCTTTCTAGTGTTAAGCGCCGTAATGTGCACCTCTGCCTACCGTTACGAGGATAAACGGCGTGATGTTATGTTATAAATAATTATTTGGATTACCATTTTATTTAGATTTGTTCTCCTGGTCATTTTTCCAACTACGTAACGTGACAGTCTACAGAGTCCTAACCAGATTTGACTGTACCGTAAAATGGGGTGAATAGGGATCGCGAGGTGAATAGGGACAGAAGAGGGGTGAATAGATGTAAGGAAATTCTTCATAGTATCGATTCACCCCTCTTCTCACCTCTCGATCCCTATTCACCCAATTTTACCGTTACCATAGTAATTTGCAAATGCTATTACTATCTGACGTCTATAACCCACTAAAGGTATCTTACTACTACTAAAGATACTACGAAATAGGTTCTAATATCTTTAAAACGAACACCCTTAAGTAAATCGCTATGAACGTTACTTAACTCTAAGATAGACACTGTAAATTAGCCAACACGAAGCTCCGGCAATACGGGGCTCAATATAAACCAACTAAATTCCCATTTGGAAAATTGGAAAACGGAATCTATCGATATTATTTTATTTACATTCGGATTTGAAATTCGGAATTAATTTTGAGGTTTAGGAACTCGTATTAATTGAAAAAGTTCACTGATAGCTATTTCGGGGAAGCATGTAATTTGGAGGTTAGCCTTGATAGTCGAAGGCAGAGCCGTTATCATCCGATCAAAAGATGGGGGAACTTACACAAGATTTTTTTTAATAATCTAATTAAAAACCATGGAATTTTTGAAGAAAAAACATACACAAAACTTTTGATATTTTCAGCAAAAATAAACCCTTATTTAAAATTGAAACTGAAAGTGGAAAAGTTACAACAGTATTTCTGAGAAGTACCTATAATAATATTTTAACACAAACAATTTACATTAATATCAATTGTGTGTACTTTACACACCACAACAACAAACAATTGATATACACAATTAATATGATACAATTCATTGCAGTGAAAAATGTTGTACATTTACACAAAATAATTTATTTAAATTGGCATCACATTAACATCGTTTTTGTGGTATAGAATAACATCATTGAAATGTGACACCTCAACTGTTTGGTGCAAACAATAAATAACACACATACACATAACATCACGCCTTTTATCCCCGAAGGGATAGGCAATGGTGTACATCATGCAATGTAACACCCACTTTTCACTATTTATGTTATGAGTCCCATGTAATAGGGGGTGAGCCTATATATATTACGGGCACAATTCCAGCCTCCGTGCTACAACTGTGATTTTTTTGAAAAACCCAGTAATACTTTGCCCGACCCGGGAATCGAACCCGAGACCCCTTGCCCGGCAGTCGAACTTGCGAACACTCGGCCAATGAGGCAGTCAACAGACAATAAATAACAAGGGTGACAAATAAATGTAATAAGTAAATATCAACTTACCAACAACGTTGAGATGTATAAAATGACTCATGTGAGGAGTCGTAGATATTTGACACTCATAAATTCCCGAGTCCCTGTGTTGTGGATACTTGATCTGGAACAAACATTAACTATTAAGTCTTTGACTACCAATAATAAGCAAAGCCTCCGCTAACGTTGGTCACTGGTGACCCCCATAGCGTTTAACTTGTTAATTCGAAAATCAATTTTTTGTAATAAGCCGGTAAACGAGCAGACGAGTCACTTGATGGTAAGCAATCGGCGCCGCCCGTGGACATCTGAAAAACCAGAGGCATTACAAGTACGTTACCGGCCTTTTGGAGAATAGGAATTTGAGGATTGTTGGGAATTCAGGGATTGGGGGAGATCGTGGGAAGGGGAAGATTTGGGAGAAGGATATTTGGGCATCCCATAATCTTACTGACACGATGAAACACAACGCAAACGTTGTTTCACGTCAGTTTTTTGTGACGCCGTGGTATCACTCCGGTCGAGTCAGCTCATTCTTGCCTAAACATGGCTCACACTTCATCCTTTAATTTAGCCAACGAGATAGAAAATAATAATGCAATGTGTAAGACAATTTTCTGGTCTGCTGAACGTCAGAATCTGCTTGTAAAGTTTTCGTTCGAAGAGATTTTGTTAGGTAGTGATTTTGTATAATGTACAGAGATTTTTCTTTAGTTGATTTTGAAAATAAATTTTCAAATACTAACATTAATTAATATACCTACTTGTCTATAAATGGCGTGAATGCGTTTAATTAATAAAGTATGTAGAAAATGTATTGCGGGTATTATTTTACCAAATCATTTAGGATTTTATTTTATTAGCTAGCTTTTAAACAACATAACATAACATAAAATCACGCCTTTTATCCCCGAAAGGGTAGGCAGAGGTGCACATTATACCACTGTATAATGTAACACCCACTTTTCACTATTTATGTTATGAGTCCCATGTAATAGGGGGCCTATTACCATATACCGGGCACAATTCCAGTCTCCGTGCTACTACTGAGAATATTTAAAAACCCAGTAATACTTTGTCCGATCCGGGAATCGAACCCGAGACCCCATGCCCGGCAGTCGCACTTACGATCACTCGGCCAAAGAGGGAATCACTTTTAAACTAATTCATAGTGTATACATAGTTCCCTGTAAACGGTCTTTGGTGGTCCACCTTTGAATAACCGTTTACAAATAGCTGTTACAAACAGCAATAGGACTAACATCATAACTAAAGAAAAGTGAGCATGACTACACTTCTTATGATAAATAGACCTAATATTATGCTAATGTTACACAACAAACATTTTGTACAATATTTAGTTGTGTAACAAACAGCGTCAGAACATTTCAACGTTAACCGTCAAGTATTTTGTAAGTAAAACGGTAATTTAATATTCTGAACAATATTCTAGAACTTTCCAAAGATAAATGTGTACAGATATATTTCAGAAACATTATCTGCTTAGGCAAACATTTCAGTGATTTTAAGTACAATTAATATTATTTGACATCCAAGGGCTTTATTTGAATTGTTATATTAGACAGTACCTAAAGTAAATTTTGCTTGAACTAAAAAGATTTTAGTACTTTTTATGGGTGATTTAAATGACGTGTGTATTTTCACATAAATTCCTGTTGGTTACATACCATATACACATAACATCTACATAACATATACACATAACATCACGCCTTTTATCTTCGAATGGGTAGGCAAAGGTGCACATTACAGCACTTAATGTCACTGAACAATGTAACACCCATTTTCCACTATTTATGCTATGAATCCCATGTAATAGGGAGTGAGCCTATTGCCATATACCGGGCTCCATTCCAGGCTCCATGCTACTACTAAGATTTTTGGTAAAAAAACTTAGTAGTACTTTCCCCGACCCCTTGCCCAGCAGTTACAATTGCGACCACTCGTAACACTCGTACAAACATATAATATTTAAAAAATGTATTTAGGTACTTTGTATTCTATGGTTGATGTTTATTTTGCTGTGATATTTTATTTACACTCCCAAAGGACTTTTATTTAGTTAGTAACGTACAGAAGGGTACTAAAATGGTGATTTTATTTATTTTAAAAACTAAAAATAACACACCATACTAAAGTAATAATAACCAACCGCAAATGTTTTACACATATTTTAATAAACAATTTTAAACTTTTGTAAAGGCTGTCTTTCCATTCTATTCGTATATAAACATGTAAATATTTTTATGTAACTGTACTTTTACGTGTTGACTTCGTAAGTCGAAGTCATGAAACACTATATTTTATACTCATAATACTTTATGATTTTTTTATAGCATAAGCCAGTAAACGAGCAGACGGGTCACCTGATGGTAAGCAATCACCCAAAACACTAGGGCGTTACAAGTGCGTTACCGGCCTTTTGGGAATTGGGAATTTGAAGACTGTGGAGGATTCGGGGATTCGGGAGACTAGGGAGGGGGAGTAATTGGGCCTCCGGTAACCTCACTCACACGACGAAACACAACGCAAGCGTTGTTTCACGTCGGTTTTCTGTGAGGCTGTGGTATCACTCCGATCGAGCCGACCGATTCGTGCCGAAGCATGGCTCTCCCACACTTGATTCACTCAACTACCTTTGGATAAGTACCTTATCATCTCATATATCGACATACCTCTAGAAACAATTCCACTTGGTTAAGGCCACCACAAACCTAGGTATAATAAATATTAATATTTCGAGCTATATATTATAGTATAGCTAGCTGTATTTATGTAGCTCCCGTATATGGTAGACGGGAGCAACATAAATACAATAATTATATATTTTCAGTTTGCAACCGTATCGATTTAAATATGTTAATATAACAAAATATATTTCGTCGAAATATTTTGGTAACGTCTTAGAAATGTATACTATAGTGGTTTGTGAAATCACTCAATTTGTCTTGAAAATATGTGATAATATACCTTACTATACCTTGCTATATCTTGCTATAATATATATATTTGCTAGGTCTGTGACGGCCTTTAATGTTGTTATGTGTAAACAAATATTTGTCTCCATTAAAACTCCTAAAATGTCTCGTTTGCGTGTTGTATAGTTGAAGAAAAGATATCGGAGGAGCTCGGTTTTTATCTCCGAGGCAAGTTGCCAAAACATAGATTACAATCTTAAGTGGTTTCTTGAACATGTAGCAAAGTTTATCCCTTAAGCGGAGGGCCACGTCTTATTATTCGCTCCAATATGTCATTTGACTTGCCAAAACACTCTTTAGCTTTAGTGTTTGTCCAAAACTTGTTTAGTTTATTACAGTAAAACTAGCAGACCCGACAGACGTTGTCCTGCATATCCACTTGAATGTATTAACAAAAATTCATTCAAATTAGTTCAGCTGTTTAGGATAAATAACCTAAACATCGACTGCAGCGCCATCTGTCGGGCTGATTTGTGAATCTGAACCATCCAGGGCGCCACTCAAACACGTACAGAAAAATTTATTTAAATCGGTCAAGCCGTTTAGGAGGAGTTCAATGACATACAGACGCACAGTAGAATTATATATAATAAAGAAGATATGAAATCGTAATTTGTAATCGTCCTACGGATGAATAAATGATTCTGAGGATATAATACCCGATTATATCCTCGAAATCGACTATCTAAACATAATTCTTTAACCCTAGACACATGCATAGATATATGAGACCGATCACACACTGATAGAAAACATTCTGATGTTTACTTTAAATACAGATAGTCGGTATTTAAATAAATAATTTATTAATTTATTAAAAAAATTCTATGGTCATTTAATTTTCTCTGTCAATTCCATAATTATTAAGTTGTCCATCCAATTATATAACATCAAAACATTTAATTAGAGATAATGACAGGGTTTGAAAATTTAAAATCTAATTAGTCCGACAGTTACATAATAAATAAATATTAGACACATACTTTTTTATTTTGTCGTATAAGAAAACAATACTAAGATAATACAAATCAAAGTTTAGGGGTCAAACGTCATTTCTATGTACAAAACGTCCGTAGAAGTGACGTCACGCGATATTCTAAATCAATATATCGCTCAAAGTATTTTTTTTTCTCGGTAAGAAAACAAAAAATACGACCAGTGTGTTAAACTGTCAAACACCAAGCGGTCACCAGTGACCGCGACCTATTGTTCTTTAATTGTGTCTATAAAACTGGTACTCGACGAGTTAAAGAAGATTAAAATAAAATTTAGTCATGTACTCTATTATAATGGAATTTCCTGAAAACCATTTTCAAAATCAGTTCTAAACATGAGTGAAACTCGAGTGATATTTGACGTATTCAATACATTTACCTGTAAAGTCCAGTCCTCAGAGTGCGGCAAGTGAATGGCTCTAAACCTTTGATCGCTCGTGTATGTGTACCGGCCGACTGTCAGCAGATGGATGTCTCTGTGCCGGACCCACGATACTTGCATGTTTAACTGAAACAAAAAGGTTTTATTAGAGACGTTGTATGGTAGAAAATATCTACTACATAGAAGGTGGGAACAAAAAAGAAATTATACTTTAATAGAGACATTCACATCATATCAACAGCCTATAAATGACCACAGCTGACCAAAGGCACGGAGAAGATTTGAGCATTAATCGCCACGCTTACTCAATGCGGGTCGGTAATTACAAATTTATAATTAAAAATTATGAGCCCAGGTTGCCTTACACTCTTTTTACCGTTTGTCAGTGGTGTCGAAAATAATCATAGAAAGTACATATAACTCAGACAAAGTCGCAAGAAATTGTATGGTAGAAAATATTTACTACTACACTAATACAATGTCTTATGTAAACTACTTCAATGGACATTGGTAACTCGAAAATAGATGTCAATGTTGTTTGCATTCTGTTAAAGTCATTGTATTTTTAGGAATGATATCTGAAATATCTTCTTAAGATATAGGGATGTAGTTACTGAAAGTAGTGAAGCCAATTAACATTTTAAGCACCTTGGAAAAGGAGCATAAATATTCGTTCTTAAAAAAACATGCAAGAGCCAAGAAAAAATTAATACAATCTTTCGGGATCATCTCCAAAATATTCTTGGCAACCGGACAGCTTTAAATATTACACAGGGAAATGAGGTAGTTACTGGAAGCTCATTTTCCTTTGACGTAAAAAATAAAATCAAATAGAATCACATTAACGATAGGTTATAACCGAGCAGGGAAATGGGAGCCTTAATGGTATAACATTGTAACGTGTACCTGACTGTCATTAGCATTAGTTGGCTTACAAAGCTTCGCTCTCATTTCATTGTAGCGATCATTACACAGGCCTTAATGAATGCGGTTTTTATTTTTTATTTAGTTCGGTCTGCAGACAGTATCCATTAGTGCACTATCTTGTCTTTGAAGATTGAGATTTCTGATTATGATGTCATTTTTAATTATATCCTTTCATTTTAATGTAGTCCGAGTTTTCTGTTAATGTAATTTGTGAATTACCTAGAGATAAATATCTGTTGTCTTATCATGTCTGACCATGAGGTAACTAGATGCCATCCATGTAATTGGAAGTGAGTTTGTTTTCATATTCCAAACAGAGTTCCAGATCCCTGAAAACTACTGAAGCCTGCTCTTGAAAATATTAAAAAATCTGAAAAAAACCTTTATTATACAAGAATTGAACCTTGCTTGGAATCACTCGACCAACTAAATTTAATTTGGCTCGAAAATGACCTACATACATTATAGCGACATACTTTTACTTTGTAGTAATTTAATCGAGCGGCCGTGGCCTGATATTATATCGATACAAGCTTATTGTATGCAATTATCGTTGTTATTGTAGCATTTTAATGAAAGAGACGTGTATAACTGTTGTTCATGTTCAATTCATATAATGTTCAGTCTATTGTTATGATAATAAAACACTTTTATGAGTGTGAAATGGTTAGTCTAGCTTTTAATTCAGACATTTTGGTCTACAAATAAAAATTGCCACTTTTTTTTCTATAAGAAACTTTCTTTTGACAGACTCCTTATTAGTTAAGATTGAACTAGAAATAGATTGCCATTGTACCTTTAACAATCCTTCATGAATGGCTACCGTCATAAAGTCGTTAATATTATTACCTTCATAGGTATTGATACAATTATGCTAAGGCTAGGCATCTTTACCAAAAACACTAAGTTAACAATATTGGTAAAATCCAACAAAACCCAATCGTGATCCCTACTACAGCACCAGTAACAAGAAATGAAAATATAAACCACAAACAATCCCAAACCAAAACCAAAAATCATAACAAATATCAATTACTAACAGAAAAACTCATAAACCGACCACATTAAAAAATGTAGCAAACGAAGTCTCCAGAAAAGTTATTAAAAACACGAAACCGTTTACCTGAAACCAATTACGGGCCAGCACATAAATTTAGAACCGTTGATAGCACCGCATTTAAAAACGCCGTGTGAAAGAAAGAGAGATCTCGTTACGTAGACCTGTTATTTATATGGGATGTGGCGACTTCGCCTAATGAGACTTTTATTTATAAAGTTCAGCACAATACAGGCTTTAAAGTTTCATTCTGCTATTGTTACGTTTCATTTTAAGCGGGGAGTTTGTGGTACCCCGCTATGTAAATTGGACGGTGCCTGTTGAAATAAGGGTAACTCGTTAGTACGTAGTGTGTACTCGAGGCCACCACACGTCTGTATTGTTACGGGTGCTTAACGTAAGTGCGTTGGCGCGGCAGTAATGTTTTGAAGTAATTTGACTTTCTGTTTTTGAGACACCTATTTTACATAGTCTATACTTATATCTGTATGATTTTGTAGCAGTGTTTTGAAGGTTTCACTTTCATTGTAAAAAGTGTAATCTAATTAAAAGATACAATTATTTTTATGTTATTTGATGTAACATACTCACAACATAAATAATTTGAATCTACCCCTGGCAGCTGGCAGCTATACTGCCAAAACAATCATATCTGGGACGTTTACTAAGACGTTACATGTATACCTATGTCAATCATCACGATTGACATGGATCACTATAGCTTACCTATGTACACGCTACGTGTAAAGCACTTCAATCAAAGTAATTGCCAATATATCAATACACGTCACAAATGTACCAACATTGGCTATACACAACATGTTGGCGCATACATTGGCCATGAGGTATTTGTTCTATCGTCAGCGAACAAATGAGAAGCTTTCGGCTATTTGATCACTCAAAAAATGAACAACAGATTTGCATTCAGTGAAAGTTCGCGTTGTGGGCGAAAATTCTTTTTAGTAGGTTGTTGCTGAGAGAGTTGTCAGCTAGACGCAGTGGTAGATTTAGCATAGAACTGCCATACTGCAAGATATGAATAATCGCCCATTGCACAATATATATAGCATACTCGCTTGTAATGTAGTGACTAAACTATTGAAACACTCTTGCTTCCTACAATTTCTAGCTCTACTAGCTTCTCATTCATCGTCTTCGGTGGGACAAGAGCTCATAACCCAACGTATTATCCCCGAAAGATAGAACATATCCATTGCCACTGACATAAATCCAACTAGGCACGTGCAAAACGACGGGATGTTATCCCGGCCTTTTATCTTTAGCGTCATTTCATGTGTGATATAAAGTTAGGAAGGAATCTTGTGACGGACAAACTAGATCTAGAATGTTTTCTTAGCCAAATATTCAATTATTCTTAGATACTGGTGGATTGCTTAGTGTAGTGTAACTAGTGTTTAAGTGTTGTAACGTTTTCTTTTTCTCATAAAGACTATCAAACTTATTACCAAAAACCAATGGCTTAATGCAGCTATAAAGGAATTATAGGGTAAAGTTCACATACCGTTTTATTCCCTAAATTCTTGACCCGGCAGTTTAGATATGCCGTTTTTCCGAGCAACGCTGTCACGTTCTTAGACGCCATCAGGTCGAAATAAGGCCCAGTCCGAGGTGTTGGCCTTGGGCCGTCGAGGGCCGCTCCGGACCGGATCGCGTTGTCCGCAGACCCGGCCGGCGACGCCGTGGCGGAGGCGTTCGTTGGCGAACCCTTGCCGAGTTCGCGCTGTGCTGATGATACTGCAAAAGAAGAAACAAACTTTAGTTTTATTGTAATTAGGCAAAGTCATTTATAATTAAAAACCAAATCTCCTAGTATTTAATAAATTATTGAATACTTCTAACAAACTACCCAAATAAAATAAACAATAAAACGTAATTCTTATTATGATTGTTTTTCTTATAACGAATAAATTGTCGACAAAGTCTCCAAGGTCCATTTACACCTGATCCTATTAAAATCTAAAAGGAAATTTTGTCACGAAACGAGACCAGTATCACCTCTAGAATAAATTTTGGTAAATTGACTCAAATCCGAAGTTACTTTTCCCCTATTTTAACCCTTGCAAATATAGTGCGGTAGGACTGAAATAGATTAACGCCGACAACTTTATTATCCGTGTCTGTTCTGTTGGAAACTTCGTAAAACCGATCACGTGTGTGAACATCACTTGAGTGACGTCACGCTGGGCATTCACGCCATGCGCCAGTTTTACTGGGAATGAAGCGCGCTGTTCAAGTTTATTTCTTTTTGTGCCAGGAAAAATTGATTGAATGTCCAATGTATGTCGGAGTTTCTTCAGGATTGGGTATGTTTTTGGATTCGTAGGTTCTAGTTTCGAGCTAAACTTACTGTCTCTGTTATAATGTAAAAACATTTCAAAGATCTTTTCTTAAACCTTCAAAAATATACTATACAATTTTTCTAGTAATACAGAATATTTCATACTTCTATTTCTTCTAACCAAACAAAACCCCCAATCTTAGCCATCAGAACGATTGTAATTTAATACACGTTTTATGAAAGCAAAGTGTGAAGATAAATATCAACAACAACTGCTTTCGAATAACGAACACCGCGCTGAGTATCATGTTACCTAAAAAGGAAAGCTAACATTTTAAAAGGCACACACACGTTCCTTATATTTGCCAACCTTGCTTCAAAATGCTTTCAGGGACTTTGTAAGAAACATGAGCACGCTAATGTTATTTTAATGTGTGAGTACTGTTTTACGTGTCTTACTCATGAGACATTATTTTTTTAATACAGCCTTATATGACAACTTCCTTTAAGATAGTTTTGGTTTCCATTCTTCTATTAATGAAACCGCGGTTTCTAAATGTAATAATTGACATTATCTGCGTTTTGGCTGTCCTTGCCCTTAGTAAACCGAAAACTATTTTAGCCTTATTATTTATGTACTAAAAATATATCAGTGTACATAAAATTCAATATAATTTAACTGTGGTATCAAAGCTTATACTTGTATACATTCTGTGTAACGTTCTCCGAATGAAAAAGTATACCTAAATAATTATAAGAGTAATGTAATTGTATTGTAACTTTCGTGAGACATACTAAAAAAAATGTAATTACCGGAATACACCATTTTCACTGTCTTTTTAGCAACTAATCTCAAGTTACACCATCTCGAGGGTTATAAAATTAAAAAGTGTTACCCTATCTATCTAGCCTTCAGAGCCAGAATTTGAATGAAAAGCGTTGTCACCTCTATCAGTTATTATCCTGTCATTTAGAGTGGCACCTGTTCCCTTGGGAGTTCCTTAGTCTCTATTCTTCGTTTCAGCATTGTTGGGAGGCGACGAAGCACGAGTAAATTCTGTGCTTTGTTTATTGTAGTCTTTATGTCCTGCTCTTAGGACTCCAAATGTGTATTCATGTCTTGATTTAGATGTCTTGGAACGTTATTGTTGTTGCCTGCCTTTTTGGATTGGCTTCATTGGTACCTAACAGATTTTTTCATTTGCGATATTATTTTTGGTTGGTAGTTTGTTGTTATATTTATTTTGTTCATTCATTTAAAAATTCTATATGTAGAAGTATTTAAAAAAAATGTATCTGACGAAATAGCAGCTGCGTTTGATTTTTTAAAAATGAGAAAAAAATTCAAGAGCTTAATAAATACGATTAATAACATCAGACAGACAAAAAAATTGTACATTATTCAATACTTATTTAATTTATCTTTATGAATTGCAAATGGCGTCCTTAAAAGCAGTACAATGAGATGTCATTACACAAAAAAGCTTCGAAAAAATAGCACATTATTTCTGAGGCTTTACTAATTTAATAAGACATAAAACTTAGGCACATAAAAGATTTTTCGAAACAATGTCTCGAACAAAACATTTCAGTGATGCAGAAATTAAATTTTTGTTAGACTAGACGTGATTTTTTGAAATTCTTTCAATTTTCAGGTTCATTTCAGTAAAATGATAAAAGGTAAACGCGAGCGATTTATTAAAAAAGCACAATTTTATGCTTCGTAAAATGAAAATATAAAAGATCAGCTGTGACCCGTGGTTTTACCTGAGTATGTTCATCTAAAATAATGTAAATTTAGTTTGACATGTGTCACGTGTTTATTTTAATCATTAGAATGAGACTATCGCCCGAATACTGAAAGGCTACTCAATTTTCATAAGTACTTAAATATCCATCTGTTTCATTTAAAAAAGAATTTATAGCGACAGAACTATACTTAAGCGTGACCTATGACACATGATCCTATTAAATCAATCCTACTCGAATGGACCAATAAGACCCAAATTAACACAAAGACCAAAATTGAAATACAAGGCCGAATAACTAATATTGTAATGACATCCAAATTATAAATTACGCGTCAAAATTTCCGCAAGCAAACATTTGGTCACAAATAAATTTAACAACAGTTGAAGGTTTCCCAATTGTTCCCAGTTTCCGCAGACCCGATGCTAATAACATACATGATAATAAACTAGGAGGCCTTCCTATTGTTATTGCTGACGGTATTGAATATCACAAAATGGCCGCGTACAAGGGATCGGAACAAAACACGAGCGAACAAGAAGGGTTCGTTGGTAATTTTATAGCGGAAGCCCTAACATATTTTTACAGAGCTACTAGGTAAATGCCAAAAGTTTTTGTGTGCCAATGAATACTTTCGCGTTTAAGTATCGTCGAGTTGTGATCGATGGAAACGACAAGGTGTTATGTAGAATGGTTTGGAAATTAGTTATTATGTTTTCGGCTTACTCACGTAATGATTTGACGAGTGAGTATTAGCGGGTTGCGGAATGCTTCTCATGAATATGAGCCTCTAGCATGGCTTGAAACTAGTGGAGTTCCTCTTCAAATAATTACGTGAGTAAGCCGAAAACATAATAATTAAAGAAAAATATGCTAGAAGTATAAAATAGAATAGAAGATAACATATAGGTACTTAAGATTAGTGATTGATCCAAATTCCGCACTTTACTTATTATAAAACCAATTTTCATAATACTAACACTATTCCTCAATTTTGATTCTAACCTAAACTAAAATACGGCTTCAAATAGTTGGAGCATAAATTACGTCTCAAGGCATCATAAGCTTAGCTCCGTATGCCGTATATTTTAGAGGTTAGGACAGTCTGCAACATATGCAAAAGAGGATCCCACTAACGAGTTTAGACAGACTCAACTTAATTGCCAAAATGTAGCACTACAACTCAAGTTATCTTTTCTAACTTAGAATTGAAGCACCCACACATATAAAGCACATGTTTATAACTAAAGTAATACGCAATGCAGATGTGAAACGAAACTCTTCTGACCAGTGTCTGCAGTATTCGGAATTTGGTCTTGGTTAAAATAAATCAGGTTTTTAGGGCTTAAATGTTTGTCTAGGAACGGGCTAAAAAGTTGGAATTACTTATGCGGTGCAATTTGTAAGGATTCGGTCTGTAAATGAAGATGTACCGGTGGCGGTTTACTCGGCTACTATCTTTGTAGTTTGTTGTGTGACGTCTTAGTGGAACGTTAATGTGTTCGCTTTATACAGAGTGATTTATTTTTAGTTTCCTTAGTTTTGTTTTGGTCTGCTCCGTCCTTTTGTTTTAGTGTAATTGTGTTAAAGTTTTGGTCTTACATAATGTAATATCGTCTTTTACGGGATGGAAATTGAGATGGTGGTAATAGTGGTGATGTATTGTTAGCCTTTTTAACATTCTACAAATAACTTAACTGCTTCTTTAAAGGAGAGGAATTAAATAAAAACTTAATAAACATAATTATAAAACAAGAAAAGCATCTCATCTTTACCAATAGCAATTACGATAGTTATATCATAGTAATACCATAGTTACAAAATACGTTCCAAAAGTAAATACAGATTAGAACGCCTAATCAAAGACCCAATAAAACCCTAAGAAATCAAAACTACCAACCCTCACTTCTCAATATTCGTTAATATCTCATAACTTCTAACAGCCGATAATCCAAATACCCACGAAATAAAACAAGCCGAATGGATAGCAGTAATAAAACCGACCATTACTGAAGTAAACAATATTAGAAAGAGTCGGGGGTTATAAATCTAAGAAGAATTGCCCAGACAGCGACGGCCGACCAAATTGTGGCGAAAGATGGCACTATATACGTAATACATAAGTTTGATTACGTCGTGTTTTGTCGTCCGAAGATGTTTTCTTTTGATAGTAAGTTTTCTAAGTTAAATATATGATTTTAATGATAAATTGGAAATGTAAGAAGAATTGGAATGATGACAGGGTATGAAAATTTAAAATCTATTTAGTCCCAAATTTAGGTAATGAAAAAATATTAGACATGTATTTTTTTTATTTTGTCGTATAAGAAAACGATACTTAGATAAAACGAATCAAAGTTTAGGAATCGGGGCTAAAACGTCATTTCTACGTATAAAATGTATAAGTGACGTCACGCGACATTTCAATTCAATATATCGTCGAAAGTATTCGTTTCTGTAAGAAAATAAAATACGTGTGTAATGTTTTAAAATAATCTACCATTAAAATAATTATAAATTAGGCATCTACCCTATTGTAGATAAATGTTTAAAGAACCAACCTTGGGTGTGTCAAATGGGGTCATACTAAGTAAAAATAAATATTAGGTTCAAAATCAAAGAGTTTTTAACCGACTTCGAACAAGGAGGTTCTCAGTTTGTCTTGTTTGCATGTTTGTGCGTGATTTGTGCGTGATCTCGAGATTGG